TACCTTGCCTCTCTCCCCCTCACAGATATTGTTTGTTAGAGAACTTTGGCAATAAACTTCCTGTACACACAACTCAGAGTCCATTTCAGGTAGCCCAATCTAAGACAGATTAAAAGAATAAAAATAAAAAGACCTGAAGACATCTAGGTGTAGCTCCATCTATATGACTGGATTTCCAGGAGACAAGAACAGAGAATGAAGGAGAGGGAAAATCAAAGAAAACATAGAAATACACTTCCCAGAACTGATGGAAGAAAGACTGATAACATTGAAAGAGTCCACCAAGTATTTAACAAAATGAAAAGTATATATACACATATAGTATTAGTTGGTGTTCTCCAGAGAAACAGAACCAGGGTGTGTATATATAGGAAGAGTTCTATTTCAAGGCATTGTCTTGCACAATTACAGAGGCTGACAAGTCCCAAGATATGCAAGGTGGTCCAGCAAGCTGGAGACCCCAGAAGAGCTGATGTGGTAGTGCACGTTCAAAGGTTATCTGGTGCAGAATTCCCTTTTGCTCTGGGGACGTCAGTCTTTTACTCTATTCAGACCTTCAACTGACTGGGTGTCAGCCCACCCACATTGGGGAGAGCAATCTGCTTTAATACAAGTGAACTGATTTAAATATTAATCTCATCTGAAAACACCCTCACAGAAACATCCAGAATAAAGTTTGACCAAGTTTCTGGGCACCATGTCTCAACCAAGCTGACACATAAAATTAACCATCACACATATAGATATACTTACAGATATGCATCTCCTACCTTGAGTCTTTCAGAAAACCAAAACTATACATTTCCGGGGCCAAAATTAAATTTTCCATAAAGGAATAAGACTCAGATTGGCACTACATCTCATCAGCAGCACTGGATGTTAGGAAGACACTGGAGAAATATTTTCAAAATTCTAAGGGAAAATGATTCTCAACCTAGAATTCTTTATACACACAAACTACTTTTTAGGTTGAGGAGTAAAATAAAGATATTTGGGATATTACCATCAGTAATAATTAATAAAGGATGTATTCCAGCTAAATATGAGTCCTAGGAAAAAACATGGCATACTAATAAATATGTGGATCAGAGAGCCAGTAGAGGCATTAAATTAAAATCACTGTCAGCTGTTTTTAAAAAAACGAAAGTATCATCTAAATTCTCAGGTGATGTCAACATGGGAAATGGGGTTGGGAGACATTAGGAGAAACAAGTGAAAACATGCTAAAATTTTTATCTTTATTAAGAGAGGATATGATGCTGATCAGTGGGAACACCATGAGAACATAATGTCTTTGTGCACCTGTGTGTGTTTCAAAGTTTAAGGGTGAAAAAATTACAGTGAAAAAAGGACAAAGGCATAGTAAGAAAATGGAAACAAAAAGAAAGCAGTGCTGTGTTCTTAATCTTAAGCAAGGTTGAATTCACAACAAAAAGCAATAAGCAAGACAAAGACATTTTATAGTAAACATAATCCTCAAATAAGATGTATCGATCATAAATATCAATGACCCAACTGATATATCATGAAAAACTACCAAAAAATATATAAGTAGACAGAAGCATGCTAATAATGAAAGACTTTTGATTGCGTCAATTATAAACAATTAAATCACTTCATTCAGGCCATAGAAAATCAAGTAGATATAAAATAAGATTCTAGATCTAACGACCTAACTAATAAGGTAGATCCAATTAATATAGTGAAGTCTATAGTTTAAAACCAGAAAATAAAGTGCAGAGAGAGGGAAAGACATTACTAAGCACAATGCAAGAATCAGAAACTTTAAAAGTAGATTTAATAAATATTTTAAAATATCTGCATAGCAAAAAATACTGAAAAACAAAATCAAAATGCAATAACAAACTGAAGGCAAATAATTACCAAACATATGAAAAATTTTCATGTAGTAGACAGCTCATGTTTTTTGCCCAGCATCTACATCAGTACCACAATTTTGCTTTGGTGGATCATTCTGGCTCTCTGGTTGTGGTGGGCCCACCCCCTCTGCATCCCAAGAGAGGCAGGGGGAGCTCATGTCATCTACCTGGTCACAGGATCAAGTCAGTCATTAGCACATGACCTATTCGGAGCCAATAAGAAAGAGCAAATGACAAGGACTTCTGTGCAAGCAACTGGAAAAAAAGACTCTTCCACTGAATTTGGTGGCATGAAGCTATAAAGATGCAGCCATCTTGGTACCAAAAGGAGGATTAGCCTGAGAATGAAGCTGAAGAGGCAAAACTAAGGAATGAACCCCAGAGCCATATATTGGTGCCTAAACAGATTAGATAGAAATAATCAGTATTCTCAATGTCTTTAAATATATGTGGGGAGGGGTGGTGGGCAGGCAAAGGATAAACAATTAGAAGAGACTTTGAGGCTGAACTTTGATATGTAGAAAACCATGCTTATCACTAGGTGTTGTGGGTTGAATTATATTCCCCCAAAAGACATGCTGAGGTCCTAAACCATCCACTCACCCCCACCTCTGTGTATATGCCCTCATTTGCAAATAGAATCTTTCCAAATATAATCAAGTTAAAATGAGGTCATACTAGAATAGGTAGGGCCCTAAATCTAATGACTGGTGTCCTAGTAAGGAAAGATTTGGAGATACAAAGACATACAGGAAAGAAGGCCATGTGAAGACTAAGGCAGAGATGGGCGCTACACTGTCACAAGCCAAGGAAGGTCAAGGATTGCTGGTAACCCCAAGAAGTTAGGAGAGGCAAGGAAGGATTCTTACCTAGAGGCTTCATGGAGACCATGGCCTATCGAACACCTTGATTTTGAGTTTCTCACTTCCAGAACTACGGGAGAATAAATTTCTGTTCTTTTAAACCCCTTAGTTTGTAGTAATTTGTTATGACAGGCCTAAGAAACTAATATACTGGATAATTATTAACTTTAAGGAAAAGCAAAAAGTTGTACAAGAAAGCAGATGTAACTAGTATATTACACATCTGTTTTGAGTAGCATTTATATAAAAAATAATGTAAAAAAATCATGATATAATCATATTGAGAACATGGGGAGAGAGGGGGTGGTAATTACATTAGTTTATTTGAGGCAGTAGAATTAAATTCTTGCCTTCTATCATGAGAACTTTACCTCCTACTATGGGAACTCAACAGATAATGCTAAAGTTGAGAAATCAAGTAATATCATTATAAGCTTGGTATATAGAAAGATGGGAATAGATGGCCAAAGAAACAGCTAAAGATTGAAAATGGCCACCCCTGGAAAATGAGACATGAGAAGTTGGGTGCTGGGGTGCTAGAGTGGATTGTTTTTTCATAATAAATCATGTAGAATAATTTGGCCTATGTATGTTATCAACCTTGGTAAAAATAAAAACAAAACCAAAAAGGAAAAATATGCAAAAATGAACAGATAATTCACAAAGGAAGAAACTCAAATGATGAAAATATGAACACATGTCTAACCTCAGTTAGCAATTAGAACAATTTAATTTAAAATAAACAAAAAATAAATCTAACAATATTAAATATTAAAATCTGCCACAAAGAGGTGGCAGAAATATAAATAAGTACAATTAGCTTGGGGAGAAATTTTGAAATTTGGAAATGTCAAGTAAATTTTAAAATGTGTACACATTACAACCCTGCTGATCCACTCTGGGTTGAATCCCAGGAAATTTCTGTAAAAGACCAGAAAAAGCCATGTTTAAGAAAGATGATTACAGTGTCATTCATAACAGTGAAAACCTGGAAAAAACTAAATGTTTACCAATTGATATTTATCCATGCCAGATAGCAACTGTTTTATAATTTCAAAAAAAACTATGTGGCAATGAAGAGGAGTAAACTAACTTTATATATCAAAACACAAATCTCAGATAATGTTGAGTGAAAAGGAAATTTGAAGAACAATACATCCAACCTATCACCAGTTACACAAATATGAAAACACATAAACCAGATGTTGTCTATGAATCTATGAATAAAAGCATGAAAACATGGGTTAGACGGATCCTAAATCCATGAAATAAGTTATTTTGGATTGAGGATTACAAAATGGAACTGAAGGTGAGTACAGAAAGAACACCCACTCACTTGTAATATTTTAGTTCTTATATTTTAGAACTATTTTAAGGAAACATGAGAAAATACTACCAATTATCAATTCTGGGTGGTGGATATTCAAGGTTTTTAAAAATGTTATCCAAGTACTTTGTATTTTTATTTCTCAAATTTAAATATTTTAGTGAGAAAGAAATTTCAAAAACTGACTCGAAAAGAATGCAAATACCTGAATAGTCTAATAACCTATAGAAGATTCCCCCAAACACCAGAGAACCACCCACTAAAAGCACCAAGCCCAATCAGTTTTATGGGTAGTTCTACCAAATGCTCCAGAAACGATGTCCTAAGGAAGCATAACCCTGATACAAAACAGAGCTAGATCATTAGCATTTCAAATTCAACAGTGTATTAAATAAAAGAAAAATGCATCGTTTTGCTTGAGTGAGGTTTATAAAAAGAGGGCATTCATGATTCAACATAAGAAAGGCAATTGTTGTACTATATTGCACTACTAAAAAATGAAATAAGGAAAACAAATCTTAATCTTAAGGCTCAACGTTGAAAGTTCAATGGATGTAAAAGAAAAAAAAAGTTAAATTTAGTAACCATTACATTATGTATTTTTTCAAATCTTTGCCATCTAGGAATAGAAGGAAACTTCTAAGTGTAGAATAGAGAGAGAAAACATTCCCCTTAATCAAAAACAATAGAGGCTGCCTCTATCCGGTGCTAGACCATAAAATAAAACAAATTTTAATACTCTAAAGAAGAAAGCAAATGTTGGTAGCTGCAGATTATGTAACCGTCTAATTAGACATTCCAGGTGCATCTGCTGACAACCTGTAAGCGAGGTGACTCTCCGCCCCCCGGTGCCCCGCCCCCACTGCTGGGCCTGCGCCCTTGCACGTACGCATGCGTATTGCGCATAAGCGTGGGCCGGAGGAGCGAAAGATGGCGGCGCCTTGTTTCCCTACGCCGTTGCACAGGCATGTGGGCCGTGGCTCCTTCAGCGACGTGTACGAGCCCGCGGAGGACACATTCCTTATCTCTACAATGTTCTCTGCTCTTACCTTCAGTACATGTATGAATGATGATCATAATCACAATAATAATCAATCAAGAGGGCTCGGGAGTCCTGGAGAGGCGGCCGCGGACGATCAAGGCAAGGACTGTCGCCGCCGTCCCCGAGAGGAGGCGGTGTCGGTCCACTTGGCGACAGTTGACACCAGAACACCGTAACTGAGGATTTTTTCCGTGGATACACGTAGTCAGTGTAGCGGGGATCTGTCCGCAGTTGCTAAGGTGGTGTTTTGGTTTCAGGGGCTCCATGATCCCTCACCACGCCAGGATGTATCTTTTCCTATCAGCTGTTAACTGAAGACCCTAAGCCCCTGAGAGTAGCGATATTATAACACGTTCAAAAGCAAAACATTCGGAAAACGCAGCGTCTTAATATTACAACTTTTAGTAAATATCAGTGTCGCATGGCATTAATTTACTCAGTACATAAAAGCATCCTCTAGCAATGGAAGGGCACAAAAAGGAAATGAGGTTGTAAAATATTGGAGTAGGGGAGTGTATTTAAACCCACCGAATAGCATACTCAGCTATCTAGCAACAGCCATTAGCCCCATGTGACTACTGAGCACTTGAGATGTGACTAGTACTGAATTTTTCATTTAACTGTAAAAAAATTTAAAGTTACATGCAGCTAGCTGCCTATAGAATATACCCTAGCTCCTAATAAGTATTAAAATTGATTTGTTGCAGTGCTCATATAAGTTTTAAATTAATAATATAAAAAGAGTGAATACTTACATTGTCATTTTTTAAATGAAGGAAATTTGGATAATTAGATTTATGTAAAGATCAAGAGTTGAAATGGGTTTTCTCGGGATGAAACAAAGAGTTGTCAGGCTTCAAAGATCCATATTGGGCTTCCCTGGTGGCGCAGTGCTTGAGAGTCCGCCTGCCGATGCAGGAGACGCGGGTTCGTGCCCCG